TTTTTTTTTTTTCCTGAAGTGTGCATACATTTTTTGGCAGAGTCTGTATGGATAATCCCTTAGCTCAAGCATATAGTAAGGTTAAAAGGTTGAGTGTAATACCTTTCACCAGGTAGTGGGCATCTAATAAGTGTTATTTGTACTTAGGATTAGTTTTAGTATGTGAACAGAATTTACGACCTAATTCTGGACCTGCAAGTCTGGATGGACTTTTGCATGGTGAGGTAATAACCAGAGGGATCAAAATCTCCACTTGATCTTAGCCAAAAGGCCAAGGAGTGATTGGATCAAAATTTCATGGTGTGGGCTGGGGATTTAGCTCCGTGGTTCTGACACCTTCCTCGCAACTGCAGGGTCTCAAGTTCTATCCCCAGTACAAAAAAAAAAAAAATCTCATGGTGTTGGAAGGGAAAATTATCTAGGATGATAGTGTGATTGAACTCAGTTTCTCCTTCCTAATTCCCTTCATCCCCCTGAAATTGTGTTATATGTGTATGTGTGTACTGGGAGTAGAAGGGGCAGCATTTAAGGTTTATATTTATTGATTTAAGTGGGATAGAAATGATATGGGAAACTTTGCAATTTAACTTAATGATCTAAGTTGTAGAATTTCCAAAAAAGTAGCTGAGAGTAGCAAATGAAATGACATAGTCACTCAGGAAGTATCCAGATTAGAGAGCTTGTGTTGCTCATCTGAACCACTGCTGTGTGAGTATACCTACTGTGCATACTAGCCAGTCTGGTCTCTGGATGGATAGTGTGACCAATGCAGCATCTTTTCATATGGGCCTGTGGGTGACATAAAGGCATCAAAGGTTGTTCCTTTACTTAAAAAGTGATTTTGGGGGCTGAGGTATAGCTCAGTGGTACAGTATTTACCTAGTATGTGCAAGGCCCTGAGTTCAGTTCCCAGCACTCACCTCTCCCCCAAAAGTCATTTTCTAGAAAGGAGTAATTTCCACTCAACCAAAAACCAAAAAATTTATCTTTTCTTCAAGTTTTGTATTTCATCTTCTTTTTATGGTGGCTGTAAGGCCGAGTTCCTTGCAGTCTTGACAGTGATACTTGGTAGCACCATAGGGACTCATTTGTGTCACAACTGAGTAGCTGGGCATCAGCCCTGGTTTCAGCTCACAGTTCTCAGAGTTCTACTATTTCATTTCCCTATGTTCTAAGAAGTCACAATGATTGCCACTTTTTTTTTTTCTTGTACCAGGGATTGAACTCAGGACCTTGTGCTTGCGGGGCAGGCATGGTGCCACTGAGCTAAATCCCCGGCTCATGCATGACTGCCACTTTTAAGTAATGACTTCATTGATAAGCTACTTAGACTGGCTATTCTGAGGCAGCTGGGGAGGAAAAAAAAAAGCCCCTACTTTTAAGGAGACACTTTAATATAAAGCACTCACTGGAAAGATCATTTTAGCCTTTGTATGCCACTTCTAATTGATTGATCATACTCTGTCCTTGTTGATGTGTGACTGATTGGAATGATTTTGCTGTCGGGTTATGATGGGGTTGAGTTGAACAGAGGAGAGATTAATTTTAGTTACTTCAGACTAGAAGAACTATAATAGGCTGTAGTTCAACTTCCATTTTCTT